TTTAATGTCAGTATGGATGATTTTGCTTTTCTCGTGTAGATACCTGAGACCTTCGAGCACCTGAGGCAAGAAAAATTGGCTAATACCATATATATAAAGCATGGAAAAATTGGTATGAACAGCAGAGCTATGATAATCTCACCTGTTTCGTAATTTTCCGAACCTGCTCGAGAGGGAGACCCTGATAATTTGATCGAATGATTAGTTTAAGGAGGTTACAACCAAGGACCTGTAAGAATTAAGTTACTACGAGAAAGGTCAAGAATAAAGATAGGAGTCACCTCGAACACCATGCAGGTATGAACGCCAGTTAACTCCACTGACAGTAAACTCATCGAGCAGTTGAACAACTCGTTGACATCCGGGATCTTCCGGATCGGCTTCGCGCACAGCAAGTAACAGCTTCAATCAAGCAAATAATGGTAAAATCATTTATAAAAAGTGAATAAACGACATTGAAAATAAATACCTTAATTTCATCTTGAGTAGCTTCAGTGTAATGGTCTGCTGATTTGACAATTTTCATCGCAACAAATCGTTTGTCTTTGGTGTCCCAACATAACCATACAGTTGAGAGGTAACCCCATCCCAACTTGCGAATTACGTGATACCTGCATGAAAATTATGGCTTGCATCCTTAAGCAATGAAGGTTTCACTGCTCAAAGCTTTGCTGTATAGGCTTTCTTTTCCACTGTATTTCCTCTTATGATATAGTAACAGCAGTTCAATTCTTAAAATGATTCACCAATAAAGGAATCAGGGCCGTCCATCTTAACCAGCGTAACGGGCACTTTTAAACATAGTATATGTGCGTTACGCTGTAATTCCATTTACCTAACTTACTGAATAGAAGAACAAATGAGAAAAAAATAATAGTGATCCTGTAGCTTATAACGTAGAAAACAAAATGTAAAGCAGCTATGAATATTCCACCTTCACCAACAGCAGGCAAATACTTTTTATAGCTGTTCCCGGGAGAAAATGTATGAGTGGTCTTAGTAGTAAAAGTATGTTTCACAAAAATGGAACATTTCTGTGAATATCTGGAGATTTGACGAGCAAGTAAATGATTTTGCTTTCAGAACTGAGCAAGTGACAATGAAACGAAAAACGTCGGAATACGAATAAGTGCCAAAGGTAACTGTCCGCATAGTGTTTT